GTGGGGTGGTTTGTGGTTCACAACACTGCTGAACGAACAGGCGAATAAAGGCATTTAAGGATGAAAGGTCAGACTACTCAGCGTGGAATAAGCCATGTGAACAGCATGTGGCACGGACACTGGGGGTCAGCACTGAGTCCACGCTCACACCGGCAGTTGATTATGAACTGGCCGTGCAAGCTGTGAGTCATCGGCAAGGCCTTGTGGGAACGTATCGGCTACTTATCCAGAAACAGCCACACTAAATGGCACAGCGTACAGTGGTCATTAACCTTTTGAGAACTGAACCAGCAATTGTCATTAACACATCCATTAAGTTCCACTTGGGGTTTTCAGTGGAGATTCCCTTAAAGCACACTTTCATATCGGCACGATGCAGCTTCTGGTGGCTACTGCAATCTTCTGAAATATCGAAGCAGCCTCTGTGGTCTCCTCACAAAACCTGAACATTAAACCGCCAGACACCCTGACTTCTGTAAAAAAAGCTGAACTCCACTGAGCTGTGTTCTCACTCTCAGTATGACAAATGGGGTGAAGGCGCCCCTAGTGGTGAGGCAGGGAACACACAATAAGAACACCCAAATCCACATCCCCCGTACAGAAAACACTAAGCACGGGTGTAAAGGTACAATGACTAAACCATGGTTACAAAAGCAGTAAAGACAAAATCAATAGAGACAGATCAGTTCATGCATCAAAATGCTTCATACCCATCTAAGCAAAACACAAGCAAAATGAAAGAAATGTCTCAAACATTCACAGCGAAAACAAGTGAAGCTTTGTTGCTGGTTTCATTACAGATCGTTCTCACCTGTTCTCGGACTTCTGCCGGATCTCCTCCCGCCGGCGGGCTAGCCTTTCATCATCTCTGTCGGGTCTGTCAACAGAACGCAGACCAATTAGCAAACAGACCCGGAGCATCTGACACAGAAGCAGAAGTGAAAGGGTGAAATATCCCCATAATCAATATGCCCACCACCATACAGCCAGATAAAGTGGAGAAAAACATATTGTGGTGAGCAGTGGAACATCACTCCATGATTCAAAAGAAACCCTTAAAACAGACGTTGATGCAAAACTGTATTGAATTTAATTGATTATTTTAATACTACACTAAGAAAACTTAATTACAGCCTTCTACACTGCCTGGACAAAAACAAAAAGTCGCCATTTGAATTTTTTGTTGGACCGCCTTTAGCTTTGATTATGGTGCACATTTGTCATGGCATTGTTTCCACAAGCTTATGCAACATCTCACCCTTTATTTTCATCCAGATTTGCATTCATTTCTCACCGAAATCCTGTATTGACAAGTGAGTTGAACCGCTCTATAAAGCCTCCTTCAGCACATCCCAAAGACCTTCAATGAGGATAAGGTCACAACTCTGTGGTGACCAAGTCACGCGTGAAAATGATTCCTCATGCTCCCTGAACGACTCTTTGACAATTTGAACCCAATGAAACTTGGCATTCTTGCCCAGGAATATGCCCATGCCAACAGGGAAGAGAAAAACCCACTGATGATGGATGGAGGTGTAAACTGGCCAGTAGATTCAGGTACTCAGCTGACTTTACTTTATTGCTGTGTAACGTTGCTGAGCTGTAATAATGATCCAGTCATTGGCTCACGTATCTGCTGATGTAAATTCAAATGGAAACATTCTGTTTTTTTGGCCAGGCAGTGTATATGCACTGAATGATTTCTTACAAAATGTGGAAAATCCATATCATCTTATGTAAGGTTACTGTTTTTGGCACATTTGACCAAACGTGTAGCCCTGAAATGTTGGCTTGGCGTCCCCTTGTGGCACAAGTGCTGCACTGCATGTTAGTTGGCAGAGCAAGGGCTGAAGCAGCAGACAGAAAGGCATTACCCTGACTGGCCCCTCCTGCAGCAGCAACAGCAGCAGCACACGGTGATGCTCAGCAGAATGGTCCCCCCGACAACAGCCATAGCGATGATGAGAGCTTCAAAATTCACTGACACAAAAGAGCAGACAAACTTAGTACAAATCAGAAAGTGCATATAAAGATCCATTCAAAAAGTCCAGTATTAAATTCACTTACACTGGATAACAGGCCTTAAAAAAAAGCATGAACTTACTTCAACCAAAAAAAATAATTCCTCGTGTAATGCTGCCACCTGCTGGCACTGCCTTTACAATACAACAAATGGATGACGCAAAACAACGCTACGACAGATGGGACACAAATAGACTTGTTTGGTTTTCTATCAGAGATGTGCTTGGTCACGATTAACAGGAAGGATGGAGAGCAGGTTTAAATAAACGTGGAGATCATAAAGTACATGACTGCACTTAATATGGAGGCAGCTACTGTTCCAACTTCCAAAAATAAACATTGACCCCACAGGGCTGAAGGGGATTTAAACAAAAACACAGTTGACTACATCATTTGATCACATCCCAAGTACATATTTCCCTTTGGTTCATACTGTCACACACACTCTCCTTTTATAACACTATAAATTGATTCTTGTCTTTGGCAGAACTGATTCCTGTATGTTTTGCATCTATCACATTTTTTAAATAAACGCACAGTAATGAGGTAAAGAGTAACGATTTCATTTAACTGCCAAAATGTCAGGGCCGAAACATTTCAAGAGCTTCCTTAGATTATGAGTCTATCGTAAGTCATTTTCACTCCTGGCTGGGCGACACCAGTCTGTGCTGGGCGGCATGTAGAAACCCAGTCAGCCCTGGGTCTCTCCCACCATTGTCTACACTCCCCCAGCTGACCCATCGCCCCACACTCACCCCAGCACACCCCCCACCGTGCCTGGGACAGCTGGCACAGAGACGAAGGGGGGAGAATGTGCCGAACGGGGTAATCCAGGCAGGAGCTGTTGGTGTTGCACCAGAGGCACTGTTCAGGAGACACACGTCAGTGAGGGCATGCGCATGCTGACCAACATGTGCAGATACACATTCCTATTCATAGCTGACAAGTACAATAAATATCATGCATGCAGTCACAAATTATATTTTATTTAAAGGTGCACACATGCAGACAAATACCTCTGTTGCTAAAACTATATTATGGTAAATGTGCACAGGCCAGTAATTTTGTACTACTACAGACGGGCGAGAAAAAACAATCAAACATGATTCTTGGGTTAAAATATTACAAAAAAAACTGGACTCTGGGCTTCCCAGAGGTCCTGCTGAGGTTAGCAGCTGGAAGTGGGATGAATGTGTAAAAATGACAAAAACTTGACTTACCGATACATTTTCTAGGCATTGTTCACAGGTGGAAGCAACAATACAAGCTGAGAGGAAACAAATTTAGAACAGTGAGTGACAAAGTAACAATAATTGTTTTAAAAACAGCAGAAAGGCTGGCAAATGAGAAAGCCGCATTAAAAACTGTATTCATTTGATAAATATTACCTACTATCAATATTATCTATTACCTAACGTATATCATACCAGATATATGAAATGAAGTCACGGTATGTTATAAAATATATATATATATACACATTTTATATTTACTTATGCATTAGGGTCAGTCGGTCCAAAGTCTGAAGGCGCGACAGTTGCGAATCTTCTAGGATTCGAACTGGGCCTACGCTTTCCATCCTTAAATACTACGCCACCTGCCGGTGCATTTAACTGTTTTTAAGTTTGTTTAATAAACGAGTAGCGACAATGTGCTGGCAAACGACGACTTGTTTTCCGTGATCGAACAATCAGGCCATTATTAGCGAGTTAAAGAGGGGGGCTTATTTTCCTCTTAAGTCCTTCACAGCAACGCAGCGTTTAGTCCGATAATTAAGTACTCTATGCATAAAATGCGACGAACTGCAGTAAATGCGAACACAATTTCACGGTGGCTTTTGGTTCCATCTTCTGCACATTTAATTCCTCTTAGAGGCGCAGTGTCGGTAGCCTCGATCGCACTTTACCGAAAACACGGCTGGACACGAATCCCAGCTCACATGCATTACCTACCGTGTTTTAAAAAATAATTATGTGCGTTCACTTACGTTTGTGGGGCGGTGGGGAGACGGTGGTATAGGAATATCCCCGAGAAACGAGGGAAACGAAGGCGAGGAAGACGAGCAACACGGAAGGAGCGACTCGGGAGCTGATCGGACTCTGCATTTCTGCTGATAACCCCCAACAAGCGGCTCTCTACCTAAAGGCTCTTTAGCAGCTCATACACCAAGCAGGTCGCCAAGTACGAGGCAGCTAACTAAACATTTTAATCGGAAAGAGACGCATCCGGATTCAGCTCAAGCGGCAGCTTTTCAGGCGATCGGTGCGCACTTAGTAACGCGAGTCCTAATGCGCATGCGTAATTCCTCCCACCGACCCGAGCCAGCAAAGCTGTGCAGCGCGCTATTCAAACCGGTTAGATCCATCTGTGGGGGGAGGAATGAGAAAAGGGCTCCAAACGCCATACCGGGCATTTTCTTGATGGGCTGACAGCTATGGGGGCGGACAAAATCGACAATGAGGAACCCCCGCAAGGTCGGCACAATTTATCGCTCAGCAAAAGATATCATGGGACACCTCCCCCCCTTCTAGAGTCGATTTTAATTCCAGTCCAGCCATAAATGAGACCATTTTAATTCTTTTTCCTTCTATCCACCCACCATATACCTTGGAGGGGATATCAGGGCACACACAAGGGGCAATTTAGACACGGAAACTGTGCCATCTGTGGGTGAAAATATCAAATTAAAAATGCCAATCGTATCGAAGAGTTATTTTCCTTAAATTAACAGAGATGTAATCTAGAAATGGACTGTAATTATTCTTTCACAACCATGCACAAATTCACTGTGACTTTTGTACCAATGGTAAGAGGTTATTCCGAATACTCTGATGTCTGATAGATCAGTGATTATTTCTTGGGGGCCCAAAAACACCGTGGCCTTCTGATGTGAGAAATGACCAAGAAATTGTTTTTACTTAAGGCTTGGTGTGACTGCTGAGTTGAGAATGATTTCCTAAGGAAAAAAAAAAAAAAACTTTGAGCAAGTATAATTTTATTCATTTAATATGTTCCATCGAGCGCCAAGGATTACATTAAATATAGCTCTGCATGGCAATACATGGTGTGGGATGGTTAATAGAAAAAAAAACTAATGAAAAGATACGAATATTTTTGGCTACAACTGTGTACATCAGTTTAACAATGATTATACAGTTCTTACGTCTGGTTTTAATAAGCTATGTGGAAAAACATATTAAAAGTAGTGTTGTATTTGAGACTTTTTTGGAAGGAAAAAAAAAAAAAAAAACATTAAAAACTTGGTCCAAATGTTACATATCAAAGGTGATGGTTTCATCTGTCACGTCAGCATGGGTCAGAAGAACTAAATTCCTTTTGGCGGGCTTCCAGTGGTTTTATGTAGTCATGGTGCAAAGGATAAACTGGGGAGGGAGAAATTAGACAATGTTAATATAATTACATCCTATGTCTATTACATTTTAATACCTCACCAGGAAAATCTGAACAGTTCTATATAATAATCTGTCATCAGTGCTGGAATGACCATCTGGCATATTGGGCATTTTCCTGGTGGGCCAATAGGACTGTGGGCCAGCAAAATTTATTACAGAAGTAAAATCCATTTACTTAATATTGTAGTATTTTAGCTTTGAGTTGAATCTGGATTTGTTGTACATGGAGCGTTTAAACACAGGCATAGTATCTAAGGGTGATTCCTGAAGCATCACAAGTACACAAGTGCAAGATGAACACATCGGGCATTTTAGACCATGGTGTTACCTACATCATCGTATGAAAAGGTGGCTACCCCCTGCTGAGTCTGGTCCCGCTTCCTGAATAAATCTGCCAAACACAAACAGCCCATGGTATCAAAAATTCCATTTCCAGTTACAATTGGTGTAACCCACTTCCTGCTGCTATTTGATTTGTTCCCACTGGATTGAACTAGCCAATGAATTACAGGGCACAGCAATCCCACCCACCAATAAGTTAGCTCCTATATGACATATATTCAAAAGCAAAAATGACCTTACACATAAGCATTGTGCATGTGTTTGAAAATAACCTACCAGTCAAAGTTCTGAGTTTTACACTGCAGGCGACATAATCATCAAAGGAGATCTTCCCCTGAGTGCTGTATCTTTTGATCATGCCATTCATAGCTTGCGGGCTCAGTCTATAACCTGCGAATAAATTCACAAACAAGACGGAAGACTGAACCCTGATACGTTTTGTAATCTGACTGGTACAAAGAGCCAGCTGAGCTGAAACAGTAGGGATAGCAGTGGAAGGATGATAAGGCAAGAGCGGTCCCAAGCACAAGACATGACATAGAGCAGTGCTTCCCAATCCGGTCCTCTGGGTCCCACAGACAGTCGGGTAGGGAGCAAAAACATGGACCGACCGTGGGTCCCGGAGGACTGGATTGGAAAACACTGCCATAGAGATTCTGTGCTCTTGGTCCAGTTGAACATACCCATGGAGCTGACCGCCTGCTGCATTTCCTGTGGGTCGACCGAGCCACTCTGGTCACGGTCGATGGAGGCGAAATGCTGCTTCCACGCGTAAAGAACATTCCACAGCTCCTTGAACTCATTGAAGCCCATCGTATGCGAACCATCTCTCTGCGCTTTAGTCAAGGAGCCAGGGAAGTAGCTAAAATCACCAGCATGGACCGACACACAGGCCCCCCCACTGCATACTGCAAATACCACCAACGGCCAACAATGAAGTTTGTTAACAAACAAAAGAATTTCAAAATGAATACTTTGACATTTTTACTTAATAGCTTCCTTTCTTAAGACACCTCCAATGTTTTATACTTGCCCAGAAAGAAAACTTACAAACATCATGGAACACACAGCCGCAAAGCTGTATTATAAGTACTGATCAAAGGAAAAAAAAAATAATTAAAGAAGTTCTCTGCACATGACAAAGCCATTGCATAAACACAAGTAATTACAACAAATGGGCCTGCATGTTCCCCAATAAACCGCTAAAGAATTATTTTTCTTCAAAACACTAATGAAAAGGATACATCCAGCATGCTAATCATCAGCCTACAGGTCTCGAGGTTGAATGCTGAAGAGACAGGAACAGTCAGTCAGCCCTACTTACCATCATGCTGAGATTAGGAAGCACTGCTCACAATTTCAGATTAAATGTTTCCCATTCTCCTCATTGTTATGTTTAAACACGATACGTTCAGCTCAGTGAAAAAAGTGAATCGTGCACGTGCAAATCAATAAACAGTAAAAAGCATTCAAATTTACTTTTAAAAGGAAAACAAAAGTTACCATACAACAAAACACATTTTGACATTTTTAAGTGGCCTTTTCTCACTGTCTGATCTTCGATACGATTGGCTGCTTGTGCTTGGATCTTCCGCGCAGTGATATGATTGGTGTGTGGTGTTTAAATTCAGTCCCATTATATTCAAGAAAAGCCTGACATTTCTATGGCCTGTATCTCCAAACCTAGGAAACTCCCAGCAGAACCACCGAGATGGAGAGACGGCACTAAAGCACCTCCAAAATATATATTTTTCAGTTTTGTGATGAACTGCACCTTTAAGAGATTTTATTTTTGCATTTTGCACTGGAGACTGCAGAATAAGGAAAAAACTGCAAGAAAAAAATTGGTTTGAAACCCAGTTTTTTTTTGTAGGTGTACATGCCTAAAGGAATAAATAAGAACTAAGATCTTAGTTTTTCAGTATATATTATGAGTGTTTCGAACCCTGAGCCCTGAATCTTCTACTGAACCGAATCGTGAGTAGACTATCGTTAAACCCCCAGAGCTAACAGCTGTCTCAGTGAGCAAGGTCTACCTTGTGCCTGATGTTATTAATGAAACCCGACTGGCTCTTACTGAAAATACCGCACTGCTTTACGCCATCACCCTAAGTGGATGACTTTGCATGCCACCGCACTTGTTTACACTGTTGCTCCCTTTGTGTGTTGAGGTCAGCCTTCTTAAAGGGACAACTTCTAAAAAATTTAAAGCAAGTAAGTGAAAACAGCTGCAAGCCATAAGGGCAGAACTGGATAACTAAAAGTAAAAAGATGACTCTTCAGGTCATACAAACAGCACCTTGCCCTACACCACTGCAGTAATACGACAGCAGCTTCTGACTCCCAACACAATGAAAATTCCCTCGGTTAGAGGCGGCAGTGTTCATGACGTCACAGACCCTTTTGTTTGGAAAAAGAAAGGTACAATAACAAGCCTTGTTGGATCACCTCCCACTGAACATGCTGTTCAAGCCAAAGCAGAGAACTTTTCGGTTTGTCCTTGCATGAATTAACATTTCAGAAAAGTTGCTCTTAAGCCACGGGACACCAGCTCTAGTGAATCTTACGTCCTGAGTCTTACGTTTGTAGGCTCCAGAGAAATTGGCCTGGGTGAGACACACCTGGAGCTCATCTGCAGATATTTGTCCATCCTAAAAAAAAAACAATTAAATGAAACTTAACACGACACTATCCCACACTCAAGTGCTGCGATATACAAGCAGAATATCTGAACACGGGCAGCAAATGGAGAAAAATCCTGTTCAATGGCACCCTGAGTTCATTATACAGAAAGTTTACTTAGAAAATGATTTTAAATATGCTACATTTTCTGAGTACTACGAAGCATACAAATGAATCTTAATCTTTAATACGTAAATAATGTTACTTTTTATCAGTGCAACATGATGCCACTATTGCCTTCAGGGTTCAAATTCCACCTTTGCTCAGTGTGGATTTTCAGTGTTATGCGGATTCCCTCCCGTTACCCGTTTTCCTTCTGCATTCCGAAGACATGCAGTTATGCTAATTGGTGTCCCTCGATTGCCTAGTGTGTGTGAGAGACTGTTGGCGTTCGTGTGCCTCGTCCCTCACATCCTACCCAGGCTGTACACCTCAGCCCTTTATCCTATGCATCCCCGGATAAGCTTCAGGCAGCCCTGGAACCCCAGGAGAAGAAAGGATTATTTTTTTATATTCGCTAAAGAGTTTGCTGACATTAAAAGATGTTACCTGGCCGGCAACAGCGCTGAAATACCCCATCATCGGGTCTTGAGGCTGCCCTGGAAAGCCGCCAAATCCAGGCGCACCAGGAGCTCCTCCATACTACACAAGGCAAGACAGGGGAAATGCATTGTGAATCTGAAGGGTCACCACGATTCATGTTAACTAGGGCGGTGCTTCGGCACGCCTCATAAAGTCATTTCAGCTCAGCTCAGAACCACGACTGTTGCGTGCCAAACAGTCATACCAAATTACAAACACATGGTGCTCTGACCGGGATCATACCTTTCTGATGACTAAAACTGTAGCTTGCAAAAATTTCTAAAAGATTAAAGACATCTCAAATAAATCCTAGATCGCAAGTCACCACCTACATTTGTAGCAAACTATTCTTTACCAATGGGCACCACATTTTACCCAGAAAGTTTAAAGTCTGACCGGATACACGGAAGATGAAGGAACATAGTCCAAGTACAGCCGTTTTCAATGTAACTCTCGCTTTCTTCGCCGCATGAGAAACACTGGGCGTGCCTTATGCATTTTAAAGATCATGCACTTTACAAAAGGAATATCCGGGTTCTAAACGGCTCACTGCACTATTTCGCATAAAATGTAAATTGTGAGACTCAGTTGCCCCGTTTTTTCGAGGGTATTCCAGTTACTTCTCGCAAAGCATTCATGAATTATTTTGGCATTTTAAGACTAAAGCAAACCATAAGGAAGGAGTCTTAAAAACAATGTGTAATGTAGTTACACCCTGTCTACGAAGCGTGCAGGAAGAGCAGCGTTTTAGAAGGCAGTTTTGCATACTACGCTAATTCCATTCAAATACTGTAGATCTGGAGCATTTTGCACAATATAAAATCTGCATCAAAATGTAAAATGAAATATAAGCAGCAGAGGAACTGGCGATTTTAACCGTTTATTCCAGGGGCTTTACAGTTTCACTTTCATTCCAACGACCGATGAAATTTGAAAGCAATTAAAATCGTTAAAAGAGTAAATAGGATTTCGGAGACCATTGATTGGCGCTTCCACACTGCATAGAGTTGCAGGTTTCAGAATGACTGGAGTAAACCAGTAAGGGTAGTTTAAGGGTAAAATACTCACACCTCCAGCGAATCCCCCCGGAGCTCCGCCGTATCCTGGATAACTCATTTTACACAGAAAGTATTCGGGGAAATACGGCGAAGTCAGGCGTGGCCGCAGGGAAGGAAATCTGTGCTCCCTATGATATACAATATGAATACAAGAAAACGTCTTATATGTAAGCACTAAAGTAGATTAAACAACTTGCCACAAAGGAAATAGTTACGCCACGCTTAACGTTATCCCTGCAGTGACGACTTCGCCCGTCTAACTGTCAACACCCCGCATTCGTTGTTTGGAACCTACAGACCACGTGACAAGAGCGGGCCGTTCAAGAAGCCGTTTCCTGAGCGAGGTTTAGCCCTTCCGGTTGACGCATGCGCACACAACAAAGAAACACCTATACCTTCTGTCTATATGAGAGTGTGGGGAGTTGTCCTAATGGACGCTGCTCCACTGGAGAAAATGTGATATAGTGCCATATAAGGTGCTCTTACAATTGGGTAAACTGGAGGTGCCCTATGGGTGGATTTCTGGTCGAAAAAACTCACCACGTGCTCTATGGATGCCCTTGCTGTTGAGAAACATGACAAACTGCCCTTTTGATGATTTATTGTCTCTGTAATCAACAAATCTTTAACCTTAATTCACAGAGAATGAATAGAAGTTTCAATATTAATCTTTCTTCTGTATGGTTTCAAGACTATTCTTGCACTAATATTTGGTTCTTACATCGTTGTGTCCGATCGTTGTATGGTCTACCATGCCGCGATGACTCAAAATCCCACAATGACACCGTAGGACTGACCTGACGCGTATTGACGACATTTTACTTCCGGTTCGCAAATGGCTTCGGTTGTTGCTCGTGCTGGGAAAGCTGAAGTAGGCCCTGCATTTGTGTCCACTCCGGCAAACTGTAAAGTGCATTTTGTCAGTCGGCATGGAAATATCAGAAGTCACTCAATGTCGAGAAAAGAGCCTTCAGGATTTGACTGAATTTACGGAGAGCTGCCGAAAAAAGCTTAGCGAGATATTCGAGGCGTTAGGCTGGAGCCAGACGCTTGACACGGATCCTGCTGAGGTAGCTGCCTTCTCTTATTTATGACTGAATTCGCCTTTTCATACACATCGTACTTCCCAGTATAGCTTAACATAAGTTTTAAATGTATTCTGTTAAGGGGCAATTACGGGTCCATTTTTTTTCATGCTCGATCCCACATTTGATTGTATGAGAAAGAGCCCAGCATGTGCCATCGTTAAAATTCAGAATTCGTCTCGCTGCCTTGTCCTGAAAATCATGCATTTTTTCCTCGTGTCTTCCGTCATTTAAACGACTTTTGCCATACGAAGTCTTGCTCTCATGGTTATTTATTCAGTCGTTTGACCCATGACCTGTCATGTACAGATTTTCCTTAAAGGGTAAAATCAGCTGATAACGGAGGCTTGCAGTGTGGGTGGCCGGCGCACGGCCTGGCAGGTTAAGGGTCTGTGCCCACGTCAGAAGGACGTGAGTTCAAAACTTGCTACCAGCAGAGCAATCGTGTCACCCTCTAGCTCCATTGTAATGTACAGTGTAATATGCGGGGAAGCTGGTAACAGTGAACTGAAATATCCAGTAGATGGTGCTGCAAGTGCACCGTTAATATCCCCATGTCCTATTAACTGAAAAGCCCGAATCTATCCGTTAAATGCCAGCTTAGACGCTAATTATCTGATGTACAATATTCAGCACTAGGAATAAATGGTGATACCCATTGCATTTTTACAGTTTTAACTTAAATTTATAGTGTGCTTTATTCAATTTTCCATCTGATTCCATCTGATGTAAATTTGATGGACATTAAAGGAATATTCTATTCTATTCTAATTGAATTCTCTTATTTTTATATAGCGCTTTTCATAAGTCCTTTCAAGGTGCTTCACATGGATGTGTTGTGAAATGGACAGCATCATTAGAGATGTTATAAATTTGTCTGTTATAAATTTAATACTATGAATTTGTTTTCAAGCCTGGGCCTGCTTGGGATTCTTAGTGCCATAGTGATGCTTAGTAACTTGCTGGCTGCTGTTGTTGAAACAGGACCCTATGGAGGTGTGTCCGTATGACAGTAACCACCGAGTCCCCAGAAGAAGCCTGGATAGACACACTGCATCCTGTAAGCTCAGTCAGATGGGCTACTCCAGAGAAGAGCAGGTAAACCGTTTGCTCTGGCTGCCGGGCTCAAGCTCTCCACCGTCGTCATTCTTTTTAAGGGTCAGTGTAAATGTACCACGTACAATAAAGGTAGATGGGATGCTTTAGGGGGATTGCTAGCTCACAATAACTTCCCCCAGTCATCTGTTAAGTTTTCTTAGGGTGCTTTTCCACTGCACCGGGTACCATACTTTTACTATGGTACTTTCCCTTTTCCACTGACTTTCAGTCCAGTATCTAAAGGGCCGAACCAACTGGGGTACTTTTTCGGTACTTTGGGGTGGGATTTGAAATACTTTCTAGTCGATTGGTTATGCAAATAGCCTGCCTCTGAAGCACAATACAACCGCCATCTTGAAAAAAGTTTTTTGAATTCATAAACCGATGATAAGCTAAGTAAAAATATATAAAATAATAATGGACGTGTGGACAAATGAAGAGACCCAAGCTTAAATTGCGGTTGGAAGAACAGATACAAGATCAGGAGAGCATGACACAAAATAAAATATTTTTTATGATACGCTAGGACGACACGGTATTGGAAATTACAGCAACGTGACTTTGTTGTAATAAATATTAGAGTATTTATAAAGCAAAAAAGGAGTTCAATATAAATTACTCCCATCTAGGAGTGATTTAAAGAGAAATGATGAAAGTGATTATGATTGCCTGGGAGAATGCATGCAGCGCTCATGCAAAAGCAGCGGAGGTAAATTTTAAACTGATTTTTAAACATATACTTGATTATCCTGAAAAGCAATAATCATTAAAATTGCAAAACTTGCTAAGTTTTTTTTTTTTTTTCCTTCCTATGACAGAGTAAAAATGTTTTAGCGAAACTTAAACTCCCAGCACTATAATGTCTACACCAAATTGAACCTAATTAAAATCCTGATCTTAATCTAGCTGACTAGTGATGTAAGAATTGCATGTGCATAACATGCAATGTCCGTATTAATATCGCACATCACCCAGCCCTATGATATACTACAGCCATTTTTCAAATTGAGTACAAAATACCCCGTCTTGTGCTGTGATGTCATTCGGCGCTTGTATCAGTTGTTTCGCCACTGGAAAAATCAACACCTTGAAATACAGTATTTTTGGTACTTTGTTGAACTACCAAAAGTATGCCTCCTAGTGCAGTGGGAAAGAGCCCTTTGTGGTTACAGATTTTTGGGGGAATTCTGTATCTATTCTTTTGTGTTTATTTTAGGAGGTGATGTACAACCCTTCAGCATTTCACAGTAAGGCTGAAATCCGCACCATAAGCGTTGGTGAGTGTGCCTAGAAAGTGCATCTTTCAATCCCTAAGTCACGCCGTAGATCTACAGTGCTGTGGTAAAGACGGTAACTGATGGAAATACAGAAGTACAGGCCCTGAATGTGAATGCAGCCTGAATTTTCTAACAGTGAGGCCTTTGTTTATGCTCTCCAGACAAAAACACCCAGCAACAGGTCATTCTTCAAGCTAGAGCAAGTGCCCCACCCATCAGAATGGAGGGAATGTACAGCCAAAGTAAGGTCATTTATAACTATCGATCTACCCGGCATATATCAGCAGTTCAGTTCTTTAAATGTTAAATTAAATGCTTTATGTTTTACCAACATGAATGTGTTCATTATTTTTGGTGTTTTCCTGTTACTTGTACAACACAGTTTTACATGTTCTGTCCAGCAGGGGTCGCTAGAAAACAATCTGCACTCTTATAATGCATTATGGAAATTCTGAGTATTCAATAGAAATTTGAGGCACGTGATGTCACCACTCACCTACGGAGTTTTGGGGCGGCTTATGATGACGCAGGGTGCTTGTTGTCACTGTTTTTGTTCTGTTTTTTTCCAGTCTCAGTGGTGAGTATTGAGGAAATGGGAACTAGACTCCCTCCCCACATTGATTCTGGCTTGCCTGTTTACTTGCAGTATCCTTTCGCATGATATCCTTTAAAATGAGCCAGACTCAGTGGTGTCCTCAGAGCTGGTGGTGGCCTGGAGTGTGGAGGTGGGACAGTGGTGCCCCATGGTCAAGGGCCTCGCCAGACTCACTCTCCCAAGTGTGTGGACTGTAGCGTTGAGCATCAGACTTTGTTTAGCGCTCCTCTTGCACTGGTATGCATTCAGTGTTGGTGCGTAGCAAAAAACTATTTGTAAGTGCACCAGACCAAGCATTAGAAAAAATAAGATTAAGATGCAAGTTAATCGAATGAGATTAATCGTTAATTCAGTAGTGAAAAGGTAAGTTTTTGCCCTTTGATTTTTTTAATAGCAATCCAAACAGTGAAGCATCTTCTGTAGTCAGCGGTTTGATGCAGCAGACTTTCGCTGTGTGGGTGAAACTCGAGTTTTGTGTGTGTGTGTGTGTGTGTGTGTGCGCGCATGCGTGCGTGCTGGCGCTGGGTCCGCGTGATTAGTTCCCTGAGACGCACTGTGGAAGCACACTGATACACCAGAAGCGTTTCTTCCCTTTTACTCGCCACGGTACGCTTGCCCCAATCTTCCATGACATCACATTGCTGCATTTGCGGTTACCTAAATAATCGCGAGTCGAAGCATTTCTAGCAGTTTCCAACATTGATAGTGTTTCAGAAAAGTGAGCTCATTGTGTAGTATCTCCTGTACTATTTGGGTCTGTGTGGAGTTTTAGCTGTTGGAAAAGCTTATTTTCACCAGATTGATGCACCATAAAAGCACAGAAGTGACCAATCACTACGGCTGACCCCTGGCCTCCCTGCAGTTCTCCACATGTGCATCTGTTTGCACGTTTGTTTGAAGCCCCCCCCCCCCCTTTCCTTGCTGCAGGTGATTATTCTGCAGACCCTCCCGATGTCCCTCTGAACCACACGAGGGCGATGTGTGACCTCACTGTAGCCGACCGGCTGGCGCTCTATGACCACGTAAGAGCGATGGCCAGCCAGCAGAAAGATCCGACTCCCTCCACCAGCAACGACGACCTTTATGTGGATCTGGTGGCCAAGTTGCAGAAAGGTGGAACTCTTCATACTGCTCTGTGTGTCGAACCTGCTTCTCATTATTCTGGGAAACATTTAGATATTTTTCCTGGAGCTTCTCGTAGGAGAACAAGTGCATTTTAATCAAAAGTGATTATAAGTAAATGGACCATGGCACTTCTATTTGTGTTTGTCCTGTTGGATTCTGTTTTGCCTTGGTTTACTAAAATTGTAATCTAGTAATATGCATTCTGTAATATGCAATTAGCTTTGCTAATACATGTTGTATTCTCTTTGTAAACCCATGTGGCCTCTCAGTAAGTGTAAGACATTTTAGTTAAATATCAAGTATTAACCTCATAACTGGTTAAGTCTTATTGAGAATGTCTGGATGTATGTGAATGTATGTCAGTCTGTGTGTTCAGCATGAGAAAATCAGTTAAGGACCAGCATTTTACCATGGCACACGATTATTGGTCGGTGAATTGAAGAACGTGACTGATGATTGGCCACAGATTTGTAGCCATCCTTTTCACATGGAACTACTCCCATCCCTTTTTTGAAATGGTCAGGTCATTGATCCCTTCCTGTTCTTCACAGGTGATGAGCAGAATGGACCAAAGTCTCACCTGGAGGTTCTAGCTGAGATGAGGGACTACAAGCGGCGTAGGCAGTCGTACCGGGCCAAGAATGTCCACATCACAAAGAAGTCCTACACCGAGGTCAGTGTAATGCCATCTGCATGACAGCCCCCTGTTTCATTAACCGTCAGGGTGACCTGAACTGCTAATTGCTATCATGGATGGCTCTGAGGGTCACTTTGAATCTTATGTCTGTTGTTTATTGAGCTCTGTGCTTGTGTGTTGTGCGTGTGCACATATGTGACCCACAGGTCATCCGTGAGGTGATAGAGGTCCACTCGGGTGAGCTTGCTAGGGTGTGGCAGGAAGAAATGGAGGAAGAGGAAGAGGAGGAGGCCAAGGTGTCCAGACCCCCTTCTCACAGGTTTTAGCCTCTTCCCCTTGATACTTTTAGTTTTGTCTGTGTAAATCTCACCATGAGGATTCCTTCCAGATTAGTGCATGGGTCCATGGAGATCCTGACACAGTGATCAGGATCATACAGTGTCGTCTCATTTCATTCCTACCTCAGGAGGAAGTCTGAAGACCAACGGTCAGGCTCAGTCGAGTCAGGCCAGTCCCGTGGCAGCACCCGGGAAAGGCACAGCTCACAACACATGCATCTGCGGAACCAGGAGTGCAGTAAAGAGCACAGCCGGGGCAGGGAGCGTAGTCAAGAGCGCAGCCGGGGCAGGGAGCGTAGTCAAGAGCGCAGCCGGGGCAGGGAGCGTAGTCAAGAGCGCAGCCGGGGCAGGGAGCGTAGTCAAGAGCTCAGCCGGGGCAGGGAGCGTAGTCAAGAGCTCAGCCGGGGCAGGGAGCGTAGTCAAGAGCTCAGCCGGGGCAGGGAGCGTAGTCAAGAGCTCAGTCGGGGCAGGGAGCGTAGCCAGGAACACAGCCTGGACAGGGAGCGTAGTCAAGAACGTAGCCGGGGCAGGGAGCGTAGTCAAGAACGTAGCCGGGGCAGGGAGTGTAGCCGTGAACGCAGTCGGGACAGGGAGCGTAGCCGGGAGAGGCAACGGAACAAAGAGCGCATCCGGGAGAGACCCCGCAGCCGGGACAGAAAAAGCAGGAAGAAAAGGTGAGATGCTTCAGTGGTTGTGATTGACCTTAACATCAGTGATCAGGGCTAGTGCGCTTCTCCCAGCATGACATTTGTGTGACATCTCCCCATGTTGACGCCGCCTTCCGTTTTCACAAACCTAGAATAATAAAATCGAATTCTAACCTTTCCCACGATGCCTGTTTCAGGGAGTCTCGCTCTCCTGACGAGAGGCAGCGGGCCAAGAAGAGCAGGAAGTGAAGTCTTTCTGGCCTGGCTTTCATGAGGCGTACCCCTGCACATATCCCAACCAGTGAACACGTGCTTCCTGGAATGACCCAGATGTACCAACTCTGATCTCATATCTCAGCCAGGTTGGAAAATGTTCCACCCTTGACTGCGTACTCCAGGGAGAAGAAAAGCATTGGGATACAGGAGAAGCTGAGTCTGCTCGTGAAATTGGACTTTTGTTCCCTCTCAATTTTTTAATTTGGAAGTTTTGGATGGTTCTTTAGATATGGTAAAATGTTCAAATAAAGGTCCTGTATTGTCAATTGTCTCTTTGTATAGTCACAGTAAGGCCTAAAGAATGGGGATTGTAATGTTTTTATTCAGCATGGCTTAACTAAGCTTGCTATCTAATTTTTCATAGGCATACGGCATTTTGACAGTATTTTCGAAAGCAATGCTGTTCTCATGTTGAGAAATCTTGCCAATAAAATTTACCCTGTTTGGGAGGGGGGGTCCCTCACGGTAAAATTACTAAGCATAACCCTTATTTCTGATATCACATCTTGGAAATTCTGGGAATAAAGCTGTGAAAAAATGTTAGACAAGCTGTTTCGTATCTCAGAAATTTCAGTTCTGTTTACTCATTTATTTGAATAAAAAGTCTCATGAGAAGATGCCATCATTTAGTATCTGTACTAAATTGTACTAATTGGGGGATTCTGGCATCCAAGGCAAAGATCATCTTTGATTACATGTAACACAACGTTTGTTCATTTTTTTTATTTTTTTTTAAATAAAGTAACTATTATCTGATTTATTGCCCTTCAGCGTTTGACATGGAAATTCACATTTTCTTTTCTTTCTCTTTGAAATTTTCCTTGCTCTGTTTACACTGTTGCAGGAAACGGATCCATGGTATACAGCAGCTTATTTTACCAGCTGAGATCCATGGTATACAGCAGCGTATATTACCAGCTGAGGTCCATGGTATACAGCAGCTTATTTTACCAGCTGAGATCCATGGTATACAGTAGTTTATATTACCAGCTGAGATCCATGGTATACAGTAGTTTATATTACCAGTTGAGGCTGCCTTGACTACTGTGCCACCTATTGTTATGCCCACACACGTTAGAATCTCATTTTGTGCTTGTAATGTGACGCATGATGTTTTATTTGCTAGCTCTTAAGCTAGTGTGTCTTCAGGACGGGAGGGATGATGTGGGCCTCATGTTTTATATGGGTGGTAATTGTGTGGAGGAACTGGGGGGTGAGCCCTGCGCTTGGGAATAAGAGCGCCTGCCCCCACCCGCCCATTGCTGCACCCTCGTTCTTTGCATTCCTCCCTTTGGAAGCTTGGGCCTTAGCGTTAATGTTAGCGTTAGCCTGTGTTTCCAGTCTCCTCTTTGCATTGGCGTAGTTTGCCCGTCTCCTTTATCCCCCCCCTGCCCCGTGTCTTTCTGCATTCATTCCTGCCTGCCCCCCTCCCCTTCTCCATGTCTCCATGAGTGTTTGCTCAGGACAGGCCCAGGTATTTCTCACTGCACTGCAGAGGGGTGGAGAGGGACCCTCGGAGCGGCTGGCGTGCGGCTCTTTCCAGGGACATCAGGAGCGTCCGACGCAGGTTCTTTGGAGGCTGTGCTTTCTGGAAGGTGGGATGATGTAAAGCGGGATTCTCCAGATAAAAGAATTGCTGAGAAACCTGCTCAGGAGGGGGAAAGCCATCTTAGGTACCATCTGCCTGCGGGGAGCATATCGACCAGTACCTCGCCAGACGGTCTGTGCTCTTCTGATTGGTCCTGCGGGGGGCATATCGACCAGTACCTCGTCAGACGGTCTGTGCTCTTCTGATTGGTCCGTCCGCAAGGTTGCCGCACATTTCTACAAAGCGTTAGCCTTTCAGACGCCACGTTGTCGGGGATCCTGCCGCCATGCCGTCTTTCAGGGTGGAGGTAAGCCGCGACTGTCCGACACGCCGCTGTGTGACGTGTGAGAGCAGTGGGTCGCCGAAGGTGAGCTGTGTGACACGGTGCGATAGTCTGCCGGCGTGTGCGTCTCGTGCCAAAGAGTTGGCTCTTGGACGTTACCGAATGTTAGAGAAAGTGGTCAACCTGCTTTGGGGAAACATATACTTCTGTATGTATGAAATTAGTCATAATTCATCAGTATTGCTGTAGTCGCGCTTAGTTGTCTGTGATTTTCAAAGTGATTGTGGTGATGTGAGTTTCCGAATGGTCCTTTGGATTTGTGAACCATCCAGCTGTATGTGATGAGTCCCCTAGACCAGTGTTACCCAACCCCGTCCCTCGGAGACTCCCAGTCCACATGGGCTATCTGGGCGTCCCCAGAGACTGAGTTGGAAAACTTTCTTCTAGAATGAGACCAGGTGCAACTCTAACCAAGGGTTCCACACCATTACATTACAGCTATAGGAGAAAGATGAGTTTGAAAGCATTTAGAAATGTATTTTAATTATGCAGCCACACTTTCTTCAAAACAGAATGCCGGAAATGTCACTCTGTCTCACACAAAGGCATTTCTTTTGGACGTTTTCCTTCCTCACATGGGTAATAGCAAACAAAGATCAGTGTTTCCATGTAAGACACAACTGAAATGTTTTCCCTCCGTTTTGTGTACGCTTGGCTGTTCTGGATATGTGAGCCACACTTGGGTCCCCTGGGAGGTCTGTGGGTCGATGGTGCGGTCGATGGTGCTCCCCAGAGCCATCCTGCCACCTGGAAGTCCTGCGTGTCACTTCCCACATTCACACGTAGGCGTCTCACTGCAGAGCATTCTGGGAATTCTCACAGATCTTCCCATGCCTTGCTTGTTTGAAGGGGGGGGGGGGGGGGTGGGATTTTTTCCCCTTCCTTCTGAAGACAAACAGGTATTACATGCACAGAATACTAAACTACTTTTGCATAAAAAAAACTGAAAAAACGAAAACATTTTTTCAGCTGTTGAAACTGAAAAATGTTCATTTATGACAAATATATGGCCAATTTGAATTTGATACCAGCAACATGCTTCAAAGAAGTTGAGACAGGGGCGTGTTCACCACTGTGCTGCATCACCTCTTCTTTTAACAACACTCTAAATGTTTGGGAACTGAGGGGACCAGCTGCTGGAGGTTTGAAAGTGAAATGTTGTCTCATTCTTGCCTGATAGAGGATTTCAGCTGCTCAGCACTTTAAACTAATGATGAACATTTTCCACTAATGATGCGGCACAATGTTTTCAGTGGGTGACAGGTCTGGACGGCAGGCAGGTCAATCCAGCTTCCGGAATCTTCTACTATGGAGCCCTGCTGTAGTAATACGTGTAGAATGCAGCTCGTCGCTGAAATATACATCTGAAAAAAACATTGTCCGAATGTCAGAATATATGTTGCTCCAAAACCTGTATGTTTTATTCAGCATTAATGGTGCCTTCCAAGATGTGCAAGCTACCCATAGCCATGGCCACTAATGCATCACGGATGCTGGCCTATGAACTGTCTGCTCATAACAATCGTGGCGTTTCTGGATCATGTTTAGATATGGTTTCTTCTTTGCATGGTAGAGTTCCATCACGCATTTGTGGATGCAGCGATGAACTGTGTTCACAGACAGGGGTTTTTGGATGTGTTCCTGAGCCCATGCAGTGATTTCCACTGTAGATTCGTGTCTGTTTTTAATGCAGTGTTGCCTGAGGACCTGAAGATCACAGCTATCCAGTGCTGGTTTTTGGCCTTGTCCCTTATGTACAGGGAATTCTCTGGATTCTCTGAATCTTTTAAAGATACTATGTACTGTAGACTGCGATGGGCTGGCCCCCCATCCAGGGTTGTTCCCTGCCTCGTGCCCGTTGCTTCCGGGATAGGCTCCGGACCCCCCGCGGCCCAGTAGGATAAGCGGGTTGGACAATGGATGGATGGATGGATGTACTGTAGATGATGAAATTTTCGAACTTTTTCAAAATGTGTTGCTGGCGTCAAATTTAAATTGAGCATATAAAACAATAACATTTCTGTTTCAACATTTGATATGTTGTCTTTGTTCTATTTTCAATTAAATATGGGTTTAAATAATTTGCAAATTATTGCATTCTGTTTTTATTTACATTTTACGTAGTGTCCCAACTTTTTTGGAAATTGGTTTATATTGGGACACACCACTTAATCGATCGTTGAATTCAGGTGTTTCATTCAAACCCATTGCCTAAGATGTATAAATACAGCACATAGCTGTATAATCAGGTTCACAAACATTTGTGCATGAATGGGTCGTTCTGAAGAGCTCAGTGAATTCAACCATGGTACTGTCATAGGATGCCACCTTTGCAATAAGTCAGTTTGTGAAATTTCTTCCCTGCTAGATATTCTACTGTCAACTGTAAGTGGGATTATTGCAAAGTGGAAGCGTGTAGGATCAACAGAAACTCAGCCACGAAGTGTCAGACCACGTAAAGTAACAGATTTGTGGGGGTCGCCGAGTGCTGAGGCGCATAGTGCATAAAAGTCACCAACGCTCTGTTGACTCAGTAACTGCAGAGTTCCAAACTTCCTCAGGCCTTAACTGCAGCATAGTATCTGTGCACTGGGAGCTTCACGGAATGGGCTTCCATGGTCGAGCAGCTGCATGCAAGCCTCACCAGGCTCCCTGCAATGTCACGCGTCGGATGGAGTGGTGTAAAGCACGCCGCCACTGGACTCTGGAGCAGTGGAAACGTGTTCCATGGAGTTATGCACCATGCTTCTCTGTCTGGCAGTCTGATGGATGATTCTGGGTTTGGCAGATGCCAGGAGAATGTTACCTGTCTGACTGCATTGTGCCAAGTGTAAAGTTTGGTGGAGGAGGGATAATGGTATGGGGTTGTTTTTCTGGGGTTGGGCTGGGCCTCTTAGTTCCGGTGAAGGAAACTCACATGTTGGACAATTCTATACTTCCAGCTCTGTGGGAACAGTTTGGGGAAGGCAGCCCTTTGCTGTTCCAGTATGACTGTGCCCCAGTGCACAAAGCAAGGTCCATTAAAACATGGTTGGGTGAGTCTGGTGTGGAAGAACTTGACTTGGCTGCACAGAGCCCTGACCTCAACCCCATCTGTCACCTTTGGGATGAACTAGAATGGAGATTGTGAGCCAGGCCTTCACATCCAACATCGGTGACTGACCTCTTCTGGATGAATGGGCAAAAAATCCCACAGAAAGTTGCAGGAAGTGTGGCAGCTGTTATAGCTGCAAGTGGTGGACCAGCTGCATATTGATGCCTATGGATTTAGAATGTCATAAAAGTTCCTGTAATTGTAATGACCATGGCAGTCAGACCTACAGAAGTCTTTGACCCAAAAGTTTTATACACAGCAGACCAGCCAACCTGAGGGTCCCGCTACGATTGTTATGTGTTCTGGAGTGTCCATCCACAAGCTAAGGTCTTTGATGGTTTGGCATTGCCCTCTTCTGCGCAGGTGGAGTTCACTGTGAATTTGCGTTGAATAGATTCACGGTGGTCATCCGCCACTGACACGGAGGTACATGATTGCTGCCCAGTTATACACAACCTTCCTCACCCCAAAAAGGCACTGTACCACGAGAAGAGTCATCACTCAGTTTAATTATTACTGTTCTTTAATCACAAGACTGGAATCAGAACACAGCCATTAGCATCAAGGCATTGGGCAAGGGGATGTTGTCACAACGCGACTCATATCTGTCACCTGTCACATATGGGGTCTAACAGGAACCTGAGTGTCATTTTTTTTCTTGGAAAGACAACCCAGCTGAGTGGACTCATGCTGCTCCTGCTGTCTGGCCTCCTGGTGTCTGCGCAGGATGATTTTTCCGGCTACCATTCAGGTAGGTGGGGGGGGGGGCGCATACCTTTCTATTAGCAGAAGACTTACTCCCCTGGTCACGTGACCCTCTGTGCAAATTATGTTCAAGCCATGTGGACATCAATTTCCATCATATCTCACCTTAAATATGGCCAACTCAAGTATCGTTGGACTATTTGTGAGGGATTCACATGTAGTTTTTTTTTACTTACTTGCTTAGTTCATGATTGGTCAAACCAGACAGAAGTATCAGTTTAACCATGACTGGTGTATCGGCGGTCCTGTGGCTGCATGTGCAGGTGACGGGCATGTCCTCGAGGGCTCTGTGGTGGGTGTCTATGAAGAGTCAGGATACCCCCTTCCAGGTATCACCAAATCTTGCAGTAACCTAAACATCCTGCTCACTCATGTATGTCTTTGGGCATTTACATTATTATTTTTTAATAAAATGTAAAGATGATTTACATTTAAATTTTAGTCATTCCATAAAGTACTTTTTAATGGTCATTTTTATCCGTCTACGTGCTGTTTAAAGACTTTTTGGCAGTCATCCTTTCGAGATATAACACCTTTCAACCGTTTGTATATTACGGATGTTAGTTTATTTTACATACAGAGAACTTATTAAGGTACCAGGTGTAGCTGCACTTTAGCTTGTAGCTAAGTGAGTGAAACGGGACACGTGACCTCTGCGTTCGCACAGACGAGGTCCAGCTGGAGCCCACCACAGGGTACGAAGAGCAGACGGCCTCGGCCTACGACCCCTACCACCCCTACGGCCCCGTCTCCTCTATCGTCACCATGATAACGGAGGACGCGTATCCCTACGTGGCAACCACATCCCAGTCGTACGACTATGCCAAGGAGGTCCCCACGGTGACCACTCAGGTGCCCTACTACGAAAGCGGCATCGCCACCCTCGGGGAGGAGGAGGGGCCCACGGACTGTGACTGCCTACCTGGGGAGCCTGGCTTTGCCGGATTTGCTGGGCCCAAGGTAACACTACCCCCACCTTTAGGATCTGGGGTAAACATACCGTTTATATCGTGTATTCATTCAAGTTATTTAATTATATGGCCAAGAGGTTTGGGCACCCAGAATTATTTCATCTGATTTTTTTTTTGCTCACTCTTTTGCCCTTCCCCCCCCCCCAAATCAAACGGCGCCCTAGGTGATCGCCTATGTTGCCTGTAGAGCAGGCCAGATCTGCCTCAGAAGCTTTTCCTTCTTGCATGAATGTGCATTTTTATAGCTATATGCAAAGAATGATAGGTAATCCTTGTTGCAAAAGGCACTATATCAAATAAATGCAATATTTTTCTGCATTTCTAGAGGAAATAGAATTGTGACAGCGTAGTTATAGTCATGGCCAGCAGGGCGGCGGTAGCACCTGTCTAAGCATCATATAATGTCTGGTGGTATAGGGAGCCAGAGGGGAGCAGGGTAAGGATGGATTCCCTGGAGCGCAAGGACGGGTGGTGAGTATGAGAGCGCCCCCCAGTGGGCCTGATAGTGCCACATGTCGCTAGTGCTCATGCTAGCTGGAAGAAAGCTCAGTTGTGGTATCATCTTGTTTTCAGGGGTACAAGGGATTCAAAGGGGTGCCTGGAAGAAGGGGGGACCCGGGCCCAGAGGTGAGAGCGAGCTCTGTCAGCTGACCTCTGACCCTGAGGACCTACGGCTGTGTCAGCACTGAAGTAAAGGATGGCTAGTAGTGAAGCGTATATACATTCGGAGTTAAGGTGGTATTTGTTAAGAGGAACGGTGTCAGTAGCTGACATGCTAATAAAAAGTCTTGTAGTAAGAGACCTTAGTAGTGACCAATAATTAGGTAAATGACGTGAAACTGTGCTACCTTAAATGATGGCGCTAAAGGGGATAGTTATTTTGTATCCTTATTATAGGACGGCAATTCTAAGGGCTGATGGCAAATGTCTTTGGTTACACTGGATGTCACATGACCTTTTCCCTTTGATGTCCAGGGAGAGCCTGGGGAGGACGGGGCTGAGGGGCCGTCGGGCTTCTCTGGAGCCATGGTGAGCAGACTGGTCTCAGTATGTCTAGCTGGGGCAGGTGGTGCTTTGCCATTGATGGTGTTTGTGCACATTGTGGAGGCCAAATACCCCCACAATGTGATAAAGACCTGTTATCCTGATTATGTGGGAACCAGTTTTTCAATCACCACAAGGGGAAATTCAATTTTAAAAAATCCGTGTGTGCAATCAAAAAACTAAAAATTCCAAAAGACTTGTATTTTGTTTGGTTACTTATGGTTAAGGTTAGGGCTGGGTAGGGGTTAAGGTCGTCATGTTGGGATTACAGTTTTCCCCATAGAAATGAATGGAGAGTCCCCACAAAGATATAATTACAAACCTGTGTGTGTGTGTGTGTGTGTGTGTGTGTGTCTCCTCACCTGCCCTTATCTCCACAGGGTGAAACTGGGCTCCGTGGGGACAAGGGAGAAGCAGGGGACTTGGGTGCGAAGGTAAAGGCGGAATTGAATCCCGCCATTTGACCAGAACAGCATCTACCATAAATGTTTCTAGCAATTTCTAAGTTTAAAAAGTTGAGGTTAGACCTTTCCTGTCACTCAAAGGGTGACATCGGCATGACAGGCCCATGGGGAGGAGTCGGAATCAAGGGCGAGACAGTGAGTAGCATTTCTAAAAATAACTTGTGAAAAACCCAGTTATTATGGTTGGAGGAAAGCAAAAAACTGATAATTACAGATCAGACAGTAAAGTTCCTGTATCTGACCTCTGACCCGGTGGACGGCAACTCTATCCACCTCTAGGGACCAGTGGGAGGAGGTGGAAAACCTGGAAAACCTGGAACCAAGGGGATAAAGGTTAACAATCAACTCCAAACACACACTGGGATGCCAATTATTATGATTATTATTATTAATAATTATAATAATCATCATCATCATCATCATATAATATCATCAATTAATATCATCATCATCATCATCGTCATTTTCTTGATAATGGATTTGAACCAACACTTAAAACATACATGCACAACATAAAACATTGGATATTTGCTGAGACAACTGAGTGTAAATTTACTGGCTCGTGGGTACAACAGTTACTCCTTCGCTGAGATATTAATGTTCCAGAAATATGGCAGCATGATTGTCACATTGAACAGTAGTCTTACCAAATTAGTGCTACTGCTGATATCACTGTGAGACTGGGGCAGAAGGTCCTTCAGTCCTGCAGCAGAATAAGTGCTGTTAATGGCATCGGTTTTGCTCGACAGGGATCGATTGGGACTCCTGGGAAAATGGGACCAGATGGTGAGATGGGAATGAAGGTAGGACAACCAAACACTAACCTGTCAAGTGCATGCAAATTAGTGGGTGGGGCTAAAAAAAACAAAACAAATTCAATTCAAATTCATTGTCTTTATAGTATACAGAGGTACACTTATAAAGAGATGTGTCATGTGACTTCTAGAGCAGGTGCAACTAATTTAAAATAAAATATAGCACATAAATAGAACAACACCCACCACTAAGAGAGCTCTACATAAATAACATAGTTATATTATTTTACAAGTATTGTTGAGTTACACCGTAAATTGTTTCTGCACATCCAGTGTACTGTTTCATGATTTTTTGTTGTTTCATTTCATTTCCTCATTATTGTATTGCATCAGTCTCAGACTCCCCTGGTTAAATGTCAAATAGTTTAAAAAAATGTCAACCGAGTATTTTTGTAACAGTGGCAAATGGCAGTTTCATGACTGACCAAGTGAAGGCCTACATGTCAATGTAATGTATTTACCCATGGTTAATATTTCTCTAAAAAGAAACATGTTGTCTTACTCACAGGGTCAGATTGGAGCCCCTGGCTTCTCAGGAGACAGGGGAGAGCCAGGTTACATGGTAAGAATGTGTTTGGCTGAATAAGCAAACCATCGGTGCTTTTCTGAAAGATATTTCTGGCCAACTATGTATCTATTTGTTTCTTGATTGTTTATTTTAGGGGTATTCAGGAATCCCAGGAGGCGGAGGAGAACCTGGACTAAAGGCATGAAGAAGTTCATTTTATTTTGTTGGGAAGTTGATATTTGGTTATTTCCTATCTCTGGTAGAGCATCCATTAAGACTAGCTTTGAAAATAGTGCCTCTGGAAATTACATTTATTCATTCACTTCCCTTAATGTTTTGGTCAGGGAAACAAAGGCTTGGGGGGAATTCCAGGCAGTGACGGGGAACCTGGAGAGGATGTAAGTGGGAAAGATGCCAAAAAAACTAGTTACCCGGAGATTGTCCTGTAGGGCACAGAGTTGATTTCTCATTTCTCATTCAGGGTCCTCTAGGAGTGCCGGGAGTAATTGGAATTCCTGGATCATTTGGCATTAAGGTATGTGCTAATGTGAAGAATGAACCAGGGCTGCCAATTCTCACGCATCTGGCATGACGCTCACGTTTTCAGACTCTCTCACACACGCAAGAAATCTCACACCAAATCTATGTTATTCCATTATAAACCAAAAATTATCTGCATCAAAAGTATTGGGGGAGTTTGCAAACCCTGCAGACTATTTACAAGGTGATAGAACTCTTACATATATGTATACATGCATGTGCATGTGTGTGCAGACTTGTCTCGAATTGAAAATCTCCAGCCAACCAGCTGACCAAAGTTGGCAATCCGGGATTAAGTGAACGAAATAAAAGAATATTTTGTTGAAATCACTTGGAGAATGTGGCAGGTTTTGATCACGGGGCTTTTACATTGTTTTCAGGGGGACAAAGGGGATCCAGGCCCTAGGGGACCCCAAGGACGAGTGGGTGCACAGGTAAGACACTCATCTGAATGAGGAGTCAGCGGTTACGGCGCTCTCAGATCACGTCATCCTGTTCACGTAATCCTATATGAAAAAGCGGGCAAGTTTTTAAAAAACGCAAGCAGGCTGAAGGGGGTCATATTTAAATAAATTATTTAAATTATTTAAGCACTGTACTGATCTTTACATCTCGCCAACAATAACTTTATTATTCATAAGTAGGCTACTATGATAAGTAAAATGTTAAACGATCGATGAACATATTATTTAAGTACCATTTTAAAATGTAGTCAGGTGAGTAACGGCACACTTTACGTTAGGTCATGTGGACAGCTTTCAGTTATCTGTGTTTTTGTATAGTTCCTGTTTTTAAATTTAGGCTGTTTTGATCTAATTTCAATTGTTCGTGTTCTGAAGTCTCCGCGGGCGAAATGGCACCACGTTTAATCACTCGTCATTTTTGACATTAAAAACAGGTAGTTGGTGTCGTGGGTAAAGTCCCGTCGACTAGAATAAATGTCACAACCGCCAAATGTAAAATCCAATATGCAGATGATGCGTACATTTTAAAAAAAGGTACTTATAAGTTGTTTTAGTCATGTGTCCGTGTTTACAGGCGATTATGTTGTTTTTATAATTGGTGGAGAAATATTTATTTTCACATGTCACTTTAAGTTTGACCAGTCTCTGTCAGTATTGTTTTACATGTGATAGTTCCTGTTGTTAGTTTTGGTTTCAGTGCGTAAATTTAGGTAGTGATTGAGCCTAATCAGTTGTACTGCACATGTTTATGTCTCCTGTGTTTTGGGGAAACCCCAAGTATGATGTGGAAAAAAATCTGTAGTTCCCAACGTTGAAAAAAATAGGTCACAAGGATGGCAGTAAACATGTTAAGTGATCGATGAGAAGATCAATCTCTGTGCGCATGGTCTTGTTTACTCTGTTCTGTGAAAGGGTCATGTGCGATAAGATGCCGTATGGAAATATAAGGCAAAGATGACTTGCTGTATCTGTCCATAACTTTGTCTGTGCTACGACAACAACAACAAATGTATTTTTGTATAGCGCATTATCACAACATTACATTGTCTCAAAGCGCTTTACAGCATCCCCACCCAAAGCCCCCTGTGAGTAAGCCATAGGCGACAGTGGCAAGGAAAATCTCCCGAGAAGGAAGAAACCTTGGGAGGGACCAGACTCAAAGGGGGAGCCCATCCTCCAGGGGCCGGCAGGGAGAGTCAAATCGGAGAGATGGTTAAGTGCCGAGTCATACTGTCTAAGTCATAAGATTTGAGACACAAACGGGGAGCAGGGGGGAGATGACAAGCCGGTGCCACCGCTCCCTCCAATCGCCAGGCAACCAGAAGGCAGGCAGCGGGTCATACATGGAGAATGACACAGGCAGAACGGCGAGCTGGATGCAGGGACGTCATTGGTAGTGGCGACGTCACATGTTGCAGAGTGTGCTGGACATCTTGATAGATTGAGGTCTCCAGGCAGCACCCCCCAGGAGGAGTAGGGGAAATAAAATGTGCAATTAGTCAAAGTAGGGGAGACTATAGGCAGTGCTAACAGTTAGGTGAGTGCAATATGAAGTGAAATGTGCAAGCTCCGGTAGATATGGCTATGGCAGCATAAGTAGGAGGGAGAGGCAGGTGGGAATGCAGGCATGTCAGCACTTCAATCCCACAAGGGGGTGTGAAGCTAGAGTGACAGACTGACAGGTCAGTTTATCCAAAGCCAATGGCACCGATCCCCACCCAGCTCTACACCTCACACTATAGGTCTGACTGGGAGTGAGAAGCTAGCTAGAGCTAGAACTAGTGTCCCTATAAGCTAAACTAAACAGGTGTGTTTTTAGTCTAGACTTGAATATTGAGAGTGAGCCTGAAACCTGCACATCCGGTGGAAGACCATTCCACAGCTGAGGAGCTCTATAGGAGAAAGCTCTGCAGCCTGCCGTAGCTCTTTCTACCCTAGGTACTAACAGATATCCCGCGCCTTGAGAACGAAGCAAGCGCGGGGGGTTGTATGTGGTCAGCAGATCACTAAGGTATTCTGGTGCAAGGCCATTCAGTGCTTTATAGGTTAATAGCAGTATTTTATAGTCAATCTGAGACTGGTGATGTCAATCCACTGTTGACGATGTAGACCAGACATTTAACAAACACTTTGTTAGCATTATATGCAGATTATTTATTGCTGTACATAACATGAAGGTGGTCCTGCCTGTGGTCTTTGGTGTTTTGTTCAACATCCATCCATCCATCATCTATCTATCTGTCTGTCTGTCTGTCCGTCCAATCATGCATTACATGCATATCACCGTAGATGGGAGACCTGTAAGTAAAGCACGTGTGATTTGCATTACAGGGACAACACGGGGAGAGAGGAGACGCCGGCATCCCAGGGAAGCCGGGAGCCAGTGGCCTGAAGGGCCAGCCGGTAAGGATCGTGTCTGATAGCAGCCATCTTATATTCAGGTGCAAATTCACAGCTGCCACTGGAACTCTGGTGCAACCAGTCAGCTCAACCAGCCGCAGATTTTCAGTCCCTGTGCATTTGTCATTGTGCTAAAGCACATTACAGTACCTCTAAATCCCTATTGAGAGGGGATTCATTTGTCCTAAGGTGGTTGGGGACGTAATTTATACAATGATTTGTCTGGCTGATTCATAGTGGCGATTCTAGACAATTTCAACTGGGGGGAGGGGGGTAGGGTGACCACCTAATCCATGTCAGGAGGTACACTATGAGCTACAACAGGATTTGTAAACTACCATTTCATACATTTCAATTAAAAGGAGCAGGATTTCACTTAAGCACTGGGTTCTTGCCATATGCTGATTGGTCAGTCTCCTATAATCATGCATATGTGTCAGTAATGTTAATGCGAAACAGCTGGATGAGTCTTTCAATCTAGTAACTAACCAAACAGTTTAGCAGAGCACAGAACCCTTTCAGCTTTAAAGTAGTTCGTAAAAGCTGAAGTAGCTCATAGTGTCCCTCCTGACATGGATTAGGTGGTCCCCCTAGAGAGGGGGGGGGGGTTGCTAATTCAGATGGTACATTGCCTCTTCATAGCCCACACAGAGCTTATGACCGCATT